GAGAACAATCATGGGAGAAAGAAGGGCTGCTTATGCACAGGGGGACAGCTCAGGAGGCAGGAGTGTATGAAGGGATGGACACTGGGAAGAGGTAACTATGGGGAGGAAGTGGAAGGGGAGCTGTTGCATGGTGGTAAACTGTGGTCAATGACATGAAACAAAGTATATGTGAACGGCTGTATGGAAAGTGAATTTGCTCTGTAAATCTTCACCCAAATCACAATTAAAAAATAATAATAATAATAAATAAATAAAATTGTTTCAAAATAGGATGTTTAAAACACAATGATCTAACAGGCAAAAATCAAACAAACAAACATAAAGTTTAAGATTGTATAATAAGAGACATATAAATTAAAAGTATACCAAGAGACTATTTAATAAACTTGAAGACTGACAAACATCTGAAAGTTTGACAAAGCATTCCACTGATGAGGCTGTGGGGAGACAGGTGCTCTCAGACATTGCTGATGAGAATGCAAAATGCTACAAGCCCTGTCAAGGGAAGTTGGCTGCAATCTATCTGGAATGACAAGTGCATTTACTCTTTGACCAATCCCACTTCTGGGAACTTACCCAACAGATATTTCTGGACACACTCAACATGACATTTGTTTTAAGATTACTAATCACAATGCTTACAACAGCAAAAGCCTGGAATCAACCCAAGTATGCATCAACAGGGAATCAGTTAAATAAACTTCAGCACAGCCACACAATGAAGTATTATACAGCTGTTTAAAATAAGAAAGTTCTCTCTGAACTGACATAGATTGATCTCCAGGAAGTATTAAGTGAAAACAACAAGGCATAGGACAATGTACATAGTGTACTACCTTCTGTGTAAGAAAGGGAGAGAACTAGGAAGACACAGCCATATTTGCATAAAGAATTACTGCAAAATATACAAGAAACTAATGGAAGCAGTCACCTATGGAGGAGTGGGGGGTTGAAGAATGGAATTGAAAGGGGCAGGAGTGGAACAAGATTTCTCAATAAATACGTTTTTATTCCGTTTCAACTTTTGAATCATGTGACTGTATCATCTCTTTTAAAAGAACTGAAAATAGGGAACAGGCTGGGGACCATGGTCACAGGGGATATCAGGCTCAGTTAGCAAAACAGAGTACACAAAAATATTGTTGTACATCTTACTTCTGTGAGTAGTGACTAGGATCTTAAAAGCTTGTGAGCAGCCATCTAAGTGGCAACTATTAGTTTCTCCTCATGTAGAGCAAAGAAGAATGAAAAAAATCAAAGACTCATGGGAACAGTCTAAAGGACTAATGGACCATGAGAATCTCATCCTATGTGACCCCCAGACCAGAAGAACTAGATGGTACCCAGCTACCAATGCCAACCACTCAGAAAGGGATCAAAATTGGAGATCCTGTATAGAGAAGGAGAAGAATGTAGAACAAAACTCAAAATCATAAAAAATACCAGGCTTACTGGTCTGATAGAGAATGGTGAAACCCTCAAGACTATGGCCCCAAGTCACCCCTCAGGCCTGGAATTAATCTCACTCCCATGGCTTAACTCTCAACCAAACATTAGTCAGGCCTACAAGCTGAACACCTACACCAGGGAGATGCACTCCTTAGGACAATCAACCATATGAGATCAGAAGGGCAGCATTTGCAGAGGAGGAAATGTAGGGAGGCAGGAATGCACAGGTGACAAGGACACAGGGAAACGGTAACCACCGGGAGAGAGTGGGAGGTGAGCTTTCACGCTGCGGGGAATGGAACCAGTATCACAAAACAAAATGTGTATATGAACTGTTGGATATAAAACGAATCTACTTTGTAAAATTTCACCCAAATCACACACAAAAAAAAAAAGTTTAAAAAGAAAAAGAATTAAAAATATAGTTTTTTAGGTGGGGACCAGGTTTGTTGGTCCAATAGAACGTGGTGAAACCACTGAGACTATGGCCCCTAGCTG